TATGGGAGATTCTGCCAGGGAACGAGCACGAGTGCGTAGATGTGCTGGAGGGGCACACTGAGGACGTGAAGATGGTCCAGTGGCACCCGTTCTTTGATGTTCTGGTTTCTGTCAGCTATGACAATACGATCAGGGTATGAACTTTTGTCAATTTAATCTGTAAGTAATGCACTAGCTCGGCCTGCGTTATGTTGCTGTATGCCTTGTGGTTTTAGGCTGTGGATACTGGATAGGCAACAAGGGTTTGCTCTTTGCTCTTGCTCTATTCAGTATGCAGTTTTAAGTGTCATTATCATTAATATGCAAGCTTTAATGTAGGTCTGGGCTGATGACGGCGATGGTAAGTGGCCCTGTGTACAGACATTAACTGAAGCCGGTAACAGGTAATGAGGCTCTTTGGTCAAGCCCTTTTTTGCCTTTATTTGGTTGATAAAACTTGCACTGCTTGTGGTATAATATGTTTGGACTTATTTACATTGTAATATTGTACGAATGCATTCAGTCCCGCGAAATCCCAGCTTATGTTTCTTTAGAAGATCAATCCCAACTTATGTGATTCCGATGACTGTGAAAAAGATGTGATGCATGAAGTCATATGGCTGTTGATTTTATGATCTGGACTAAACTTCTGCCACATGATCATACCTTCTTTTAATATGTTTGGATCTTGTAGATTTATTTTCTACTAGCAGCCATATACATGTATGCACGATTCTAGCTATGTGTATTGGAGGTAATTGTAGGGATCCAACTTAAACCATGAGGTGTTGATGTGAGATTTATGGACAGTTATGATCAATAGTGTCGCATGGTGTCCTTCTGTTCTGGTATAAATATCCCTTGATTATTGGGTTTTACTGGTACTTTTTTCACAGTTCCCATTTTGCTAAAACATAATGCGGGTTTACATATTTACATGTCAATGATAGTAATGTGTTTGTGACTTTGTGTTATGTTGCTATTAACTATAAGATTATCTTGATACTGTTCCATCTTGTTTGGATGATATGATAAACTTTTTGCTATTCATCTTTAAAAATACCTGAACATATCTATTTCCTTCTGAAGTTTTGATTGTTAACTTCAATTGTTGATGGCGACTATGTTCTATCATTAGTAACAGAACGCTACTATATTGATCAATCTTTCTAGTGTTAGAGCTTAACTGATTATTGCATCTTTCCCTGGTAAAGTTGATCTCCTTTTTCTTTTCACAGTGGTCATTCCTCAACAGTATGGTCAATATCTTTTAACCAGAAAGGAGATAGGATGGTCACATGCAGGTTCGCTCTACCATGCTGGATTATAATATCCCTATTTGTTTTGTAGGATCTTTTTGGAGCGGTATATTCCTAGATTCTCTAGCACTGCTGAATTCCTTTGTTCCAGACGGGCCCTAGAAAAGTTACTAATCTCATTAATTTGTTATCCAGTGATGACTGTACTTTGAAAATTTGGGATACGAGTATTGATTTGTCGCAACCAACAACTGGAGAAGGTCATGATTCTTGGTAAGAGTTTTTTTCTTGATACCTTTTTTTGATTCATGTTTGTCGCAAAACAAGACAAGCTGTGTGGTGGTTCATGTTTAGTCCCCACCCCAAAATTTAGACTACGCCAGGGATGAATCAAGCATATTAGTGTTATTGTGCTGTGTCTATTGTTATTCATTAGTCTGGCATATCTCTGTAATTTTATATTATCCACCACTTTACTCACTGGGACAGTTGCAAACTAATAACTGATGATGTTCCTGTTCTTCACAGAGAAGTGGTTGTTTGGTAGAGTATACCATTGTGCTTTTTTATTTGTTGGAGAGCTTTTCTAAGTTAGATGTACTCATCTTTGTTGCTATTAGATCAAATATCAATGCTTACATTGAGTAAAATTTTGCTTTGCTTTCACCGGAGTGCAAATATAGCACAACTTGGCCCTTTCCTTGCATATGGATTATGAGTCGACTTTAGTGTTGGTGTGTAACTATTCTAGTTCTGCTGATATTGTTATCACATCACTGCAGTGAAGCTTATCAAAATTATGTTGCCTTTCCACACCACCCCTTTAATAGGATAATTATCATTTAATTTCAGGCGTCATATTTCTACTCTATCTGGATATCATGGTCGAACTATTTTTTCAGTCCATTGGTCAAGGTTAGCTGAACTCCAATCACTGATGCATATTTACTGCTTCTGAATTTCATTCTGCAGGGGCTAACAAATTTACTCTTTATCTGCTAGAACACAAGCATTTTTATGAACCCAATCAACAATATAAATTTTATAAAAATAGTTTCTGACTTCTGGTTGAGAGCATTATATGTCTGCAAAAAGGAGGCTCATTATATTTTATGCAAGTTAACTTAATTATACACATCAATATTCCTGTTGAACTGATGGCCAGAATCCTGCAGAAAAAGCTAATCAAAGTCCTTAACTGTCAGTTCTACATGTTTACGAAAGATATGACCGACTATTTATGTATATGTTTTCAGAATACAATTGTCGTATATTTATGTTGAACAAATGTTGATCTCCCAGAATTGGCAAATTCTGCTGTCATTCTGAATAAGCAAAGATATTATTGGCCATTTTAATCTTCCGAGGTTTATTTACATAAGTCGATATGGATTGCCATGCTGAATTGAAATAGAATAGTCTTTCACTCGTTTGTACTATACTTTGACATTTTTCATGCTCCTTTGTGCATGCAGCGAGGATGTAATTGCCAGTGGGGCAGGTGATAATGCTATCTGCTTATTTGCCGAGGAGAATAGTATGGTATCTTATCCTTCCGCTGAACATTCAAATTCTCACGACTCTTGATTCATCTCTATGGGATCTGCTTAGCTGACCATTTTGTCCAAGTTACATTTGCAGTAGATAGTGGAGTGCGATGTTCCAACATGGAGTGCATACTTTAGTAGTGGTCATACTTGTCTAGGAATAAGTAAATGCTTGAGTGTTTGTTCATATTTTGCTAAATGCAGTGACCACCCTTTGATTTAAGTATTAACAGCTACTCTGGGCAGTGCAGGTTGAGGGGCCTTCCTACAGATTAATACTGAAGAAAGAGAAGGCACATGACATGGATGTAAATTTTGTCAGATGGTGTCCTCAGGTAATCTCAGAAAATTAGCTGCAAAATAGTCTCAACGTGTTAAAGCTGGTAATGGGCTTCATTTGTTTCTGGCTTGGTGTATGAGAACTATCAATATCTATAATGGTTCAAATATCTTTTACTTTAGTTAGAAGTGCCTAATTCTTGGCAAATAAACTCGTAGGACCCAAGGGTGTTGGCATCCGCGAGCGATGATGGCACAGTCAAATTGTGGGAGCTGCGGGGGGATATACTGGATTGAGTTGGACTCTTCTGCTGTAATAGGATTATAGTTCTAGCTGTGCATCTTAAGTTCCTACTGTAGAACAGAGTAGGGGTCACCTTTTATTTTGTTTCTTTATTCGAAAACAATGCTCCCAAAATAAGTGTCTCGACACTTATTTTGGGACGGAGGGTGTACTTTTTTGTACCCGCAAAGCTTGGATGGGGATGACCGTTTAACAGATACCATTCAAGCTACAAGATCTGCTATCCTGACAGGTTGTGGAGTAGTTCGTGTATACAATGTGAAACAATAGACTTGTTACAGGCATATCATTTTTGCAAATGAGTTGTAAAACATCAAATTAAGTTTCGCCATTGTGAACAACATATTGTTTGTCACACTGGTTGGTGATGGGATGTCATTGTTGCCGCCTCTTGATGAGATTTCAGATTCCATATCCTTTTGTATACTCACTCTGGAATAATGCATATGGCGTCTGCGTTTTTCTAGGTTATATCTAATTGACAAACTAAATATTGTTATATGTCACAAAAGCACATCATTGGATTCATACGAATGAAATTCTAAATATATATTACCTCTGCCCCAAATTAGTTGTTTTAGATTTATCTAAATACGGATGTACCTAGCACTAAAAATTGTTTAGATACATCTGTATCTACACAAATCTAAGACAACTAATTCAGGATGGAGGGAGTAATATGTACTTCCTCCGTTCCGGAGCTAAATGAGTGAATCTAAACTCTAAAATATGTCCATATACATTCGAGTGTAGTCCGCATTGAGATATGTAAAAGGCTTATATTTAGAAACGGATGGAGTATATATTTTATATAGACAACCCCCACTAGCGATCATTAATTGCTATTTTCCTACTATCATAACGAGCCGCATCATCAAAACTGTTGTAGCCATTTATATGCTATATCTCAATGTATAATAGTCATCTGATCTAAATATTGAGTTACTGTCCACGCTGAGAAGTAATCAGTGACAGTAAGGGCTAATTCTTTTACTGGCTTCTAGAATAAGCTGGAATGAAAACTCCTTTCAGCTTATTCTAGAAGCCTAACCAAAATTATCTTAGAAGCCTACTAACTTAGACTCCGGTAACCTTCAAAAAAAATATTTTGGGTTGGGCTTCTAAGCTAAAAAAACTGGCCCTAAGGCTAAAAGGCTATCTAAAAGCCTACTAACTAAGACTTCACCAACACCTGAAGAAATTCTTCTCAAACTTTTAGAAAATTATGAAGTGATTGTTGTTTTTAGTCAACATCGGGTCGTGCTCGGTTTTAACCCAAGTGTCCTTTAGTATTTTCTGGAAAGACTTGTCGGTCGTAAAAATCGGAAAACCGAATTTCTTAAAAAAACCGAGAAACCGAACCGGTCGGTTCGGTGTAACCGAACGCCTGGGCAGCGGCCCGTGTCCTCCACGCGCGGTTGACCTCCACAAGCCACCAGTAAACGAACTCCCCACCATCCTCCTCGCTGTTCGCCGCCGCCGCCTCCCTCCGCTAAATTCCCACCATCCGGAGAATCCACACCATACCTCCTCGCGCCGCCTCGGACCCCCTCCGCAGCTCCCCACTCTGCGCTCCTCACCGGCGACTCGCGCCCGGAACCCTAGGCAACGGCGATCGCCGGCGAACAGGCCATGGATGGCGGCGCGGCGGAGCTGCGCGAGACCCACCGCCTGACGGGCCACGCCGACCGCGCCTGGTCGCTCGCCTGGAACCCCAATCCGGGCCCCGGCGCCGGCCCCGTCCTCGCCTCCTGCGGCGGCGACAAGACCGTGCGCATCTGGAAGCGCGCCCCCGACGGCGTCTGGGACTGCTCGGTAAGAACAATCTACTACTTCAGTTTGCTCCAATAGGTCCACGTTGCATTGCGGTGGTTCGTTTCCTCATCTGCGCCCGTCCATCTCTCTTGTTCAGGATGTGCTCGACGGCGTGCACGAACGCACGGTGAGGTCCTGCGCCTGGTCCCCCGACGGGAAGCTGCTGGCGACCGCGAGCTTCGATGGCACCACCGCGATATGGGAGTACTCCGGTGGGGACTTCGAGTGCGTCGCCACATTGGAGGTGAAAACTCTTGCTGAATTTGGTTTTGGGGTTCAGTGTTGCCGCTTTCTGTTGTAGAGATTGCTGGTTACCTGTGGATGTTAACTCTGTGCTGTCGATGGGTAGGGGCATGATAATGAGGTGAAGAGCGTGTCGTGGAGCCAGTCGGGTTCGCTGCTCGCGACGTGCAGCCGGGACAAGGCTGTGTGGATATGGGAGGTGCAGCCAGGGAACGAGCACGAGTGTGTAGCCGTGCTGCAGGGGCACACTCAGGACGTGAAGATGGTCCAGTGGCACCCAGTTCTTAATGTTCTGGTTTCTGTCAGCTATGACAATACCATCAGGGTATGAACTCTTATCAATTTAATTTGTAATGCACTAGTTCGACCTGCGTTACTTTGCTGTCTAGTGATTTTAGGCTGTATAGGTTGCTCTTGCTCTGTTCGGTTTGCAGTGTTTAAGTGGCATTACTCATTAAGATGGAAGCTTTGATGTAGGTCTGGGCTGATGACGGCGATGATGACTGGCATTGCGTACAGACATTAGCTGAAGCCGGTAACGGGTAATGAGGCTCTTTGGTCCAGCCCTTTTTGCCTTTCTATGGTTGATAAAACTTGTACTGCTTGTGGTATAATATGTTTTGACTCATTTACTCCCAGGTAATGAGTAGTACATTGTAATATCGTGCGAATGTCCAGCTTATGTTTCTTTAGAAGATCAATCCCAGCTTATTTGATGCTGATGATTGTGAAAAAGATGTGATGCATGAAAACCCATTTTATGAGTCCTTTGGTTGTTGATTTTATGATCTGGACCAAATTTCTGCTCCATGACCATATCGTTTTTTCATATGTTTGAATCTTGCATATTTTAGTTTCTATACTAGCAACCATGTACATGCATGCACGATTCTACAGATGTGTATTGGATGAAAATATAACTACTAACATATTTCAGAAAATCATATTGCATGTACCCAACATTCCCTTCCCACCTTCCCTAACAAACCACTTTATGGAGGGAAAAAAGGATCCAAGATCCAGGTAGTTAGTGAGCTTGATTCTGAATTAATCATACTATAAGTGTGTAATTACTAAAAGGTAATTCTAGGGATCCAACTTAAACCATGAGGCATGGGTTATGAGTCCAAGGACTAGTCAACTCCAGGGCCGACTACACTTCAATGTCGACTAGTCTATGAGTCGCAACTTTAGTGTCGACTAGTTACGCTTAGTCTATGAGTCTCAACCTCGGAACGACTCGTCGACTCGTAAACCTTGCCATGAGGTGTTGAGATTTATGAACAGTTAAGATCAACAGTATCGCATCGAATTGGTGTCTTTTTGTTTTGGTATAAATATCCCTTAATTATTTCACTTGTATTTTTACCTTTTCCCACAGTTCCCACTTTGCTAAAACATAATCTGGGATTACATGTCAATCATTGTAATGTGTTTGTGTTATGTTGCTATTAATTATTAAGATTACCCTGACACTGTTCCATCTTGTTTGGATGATATGATACACTTTCTGCTATTCATCTTTAAAAATAACAGAGCATATATTTATCTCCTTTTGAAGTTTTGATTGTTCATTTCAATTGTTGACGGACACTATGTTCTCTCATTAGTAACAGAACACTACTATATTGATTATTCTTTCTGGTGTTACAGCTTAACTGATTATTGCATCTTGCCCTGCTATAGTTGATCTCCTTTTTCTTGTTTACAGTGGCCACTCCTCAACAGTATGGTCCGTATCTTTTAACCAGAAAGGAGATAGGATGGTCACATGCAGGTTCGCTCTACCATGCTGGATTAATATCCCTCTTTATTTTGTAGGCTCTTTTTGGAATGCGGTATTTTCCCAGATTCTCTAGCACTGCTGAATTCCTGTGTTAGCAAAAGTTTCTAATGTCATATGTTTCTTATCCAGTGATGACTGTACTTTGAAGATTTGGGATACGAGTGCTGATTTGTCGCAGCCAACAACTGGAGAAGGTCATGAATCTTGGTAAGAGTTTTCTTATCGATACTATTTTTGACTTATATTTGTCGTATAAGGTTCGATAACACTGAAGTAGCACAGCTGTTCCTAAAAGATATGGCTGCAGAAGTAGACAAGCTGTGTGGTAGTTCACATTTAGTCCCCACCCAAAAATTAGACTATGCCGGTGATGAAATCAAGCATGTTAGTGTTCTTGTGCTTTCTATTGCTATTAGTCTGGCATATCTCTATATTTTCATATTATCTGCCACCTTACTCCCTGGGGTAATTGCAAACTAATAATTGATGATGTGCCTGTTCTTCACGGAGAAGTGGTTGTTTGGTATAGTATTACCAATGCGATTTTTTTTTGTAGCAGAACTTGTATAAGCATCGTTGTTGGTATTAAGATCAAATATCAATGCTTACATTGAGTAAAATTTTGTTTCGCTTCCACCGGAGTGCAAATCTAGTACAACCCTGCCCTTTCCAGGCATATGGTGACTTTAGTGTATTGCTAAGGTTCTGATTAGTTGAGACATACTTGTTAGTTCTGACCATTCTCTCGCGAGTCGACTTTAGTGTTTGTGTGTAACTGTTCTAGTTCTGCTGATATTGTTGTTGTCACATCACTGCAGTGAATCTTTCCACACCACCCCTCTTTAACAGGATGATTATTGTTTAATTTCAGGCGACATCTTTCTACTTTATCTGGACATCATGGTCGAACTATTTTTTCAGCCCATTGGTCAAGGTTAGTTGAACTCCAGTGACTAACACATATTTACTGCTTCTGAATTTTATTCAGAAGGAGCAAACAAATTTACTCTTTATCAGATAGTGCACAAGCATTTTTATGAATTCAATCAACAATATAAGTTTTATAAAACTATTTTCTGACTTCTGGTTGAGAGCATTATATGTCTGCAAAAAGGAGGCTCATTCTATTTACGCAAGTAATTTTTTAATTATATACATCAATATTCCTATTGGCAGAATCCTGCAGAAAAAGACGATCAAAGTCCTTAACTGTCAGTTCTACATGTTTACGAAAGATATCACTGACCATTTATGTATATGTTTTCAAAATACAATTGTCGTATATTTATGTTGAACAAATGTTGATAATTGACCATTCTTATCTACCGAAGTCTTTACATAAGTCGATGTGGATTAACATGCTGGATTAAAATAGAATAGTCTTTCACTCTTTTGTACTATTCTTTGACATTTTTCATGCTCCTCTGTGCATGCAGCGAGGATGTTATTGCCAGTGGGGCAGGTGATGATGCTATCTGCTTATATGCCGAGGAAAAGAGTACTACGGTATCTTAGCCTTCCGCTGAACATTCAAATTCTCACCACTCTTGATTTATCTCTTATACGATCTGCTTAGCTGACTAGTTTGTCCAAGTTACATTTGCGGTAGATAGTGGAGTGCATGTTTCAACATGGAGTGCATACTTTAGCACTGAACATACTTTTCTTGGGATAAATGCTTGAGGGTTGTTCATATATTTTTCTAAATGCAGTGACCACCATTTGATTTAAGTATTAACAGCTACCTTGGATGGTGTGCAGGTTGAGGGGCCTTTGTACAGATTAATATTGAAGAAAGAGAAAGCGCATGACATGGATGTAAATTGTGTCAGATGGTGTCCTCAGGTAATCTCAGAAAATTAGAAACAAATTGCATCTCGGATAATTGCTCCAGTTGCGCCAATTCCAGTAGTCTCGATGTGTTAAGCTGGTAAAGGATTTTAATTGTCTAGCAATTCAATCCAGTATGAGACTATCACAATCTATAATGGTTCAAGTATCTTCTACTTTGGTTATTAGAAGTGCCTAATTCTTTTCTAATAAACTCGTAGGACCCGAGGGTGTTGGCTTCCGCGAGCGATGATGGCACAGTAAAATTGTGGGAGCTGCGGGGCAATTTACTGGACTGAATTGTGCTCTATCTGCTGCAATGTGATGATAGTTCTAGCTGTGTACCTTAAGATCACAGATGAATGTAGGGATCGCCATTTGGTTTCTGTTTTCCAAACAATGCTCCCTTAGGTTAGCTAATACTTTTTGTACCTGCAAGAGCTTGGATGGTGGTGATCTTTTAACAGATTTGCCATCCAAGCTACGAGCTCTGGCATCGATGTGGAATTGTTGGTGTATACAATATGAACCGATAGACGTGCTATTATTTTTTTTAAATGAGCTATCAAACATCAAATTAAGTTCCTGTACAGAGACAAGTGCCGCGCACAGTTTTATGTGGTCTCGTGTTCTCTTTGCCATTGGAAAGTGGAAACCCCATATTGTGTGTCACACTGGTCGGCGATTTGATGTCATTGTTGCTGCCTTTTTTATGAGATTTTGAGATTCCATATCATCTTGTATACTTTGTACCTATTGTTTTCTAACAAAGCAAGATTTATGTGGCGAAAGATTACGTTCACCGTTGCTGCATGGGGTTCATGGTGGAAAACTTCGGGAGCAGAATATATTGGATTGCCATTGAAACAAATGTCAAAATTGAAAGCGGATAGATGGTTAGCGCTGTTGTTTGGAATTTCTGATGACCATTTCGTCTGGTCCTTGCCCGAAGGTTAGTATCTACGGACCAAAGTGTCCTGGAATTGCTTCGCCTTCTGCAAAGGTGATTCGGAAGATAGGGAAGAAAATTTTGGTCCTTAAACCAGAAAATATAGGGAGCTATAGCATTTTGAGGGAAGGGCTAGAGATGCTCTTGGGACATCATTCACTATTTAGAATGCAGACCATGGGCTCTGGTTGATCTTCTCATGGATAAATGTCGGTGTCTGTTTTTGCTGCAAGGCGGAGATGATTGTGCTGCAAGGGGCAGAACCGCAGAAGCAGCGGCTTCTGCCCCTGTAAAGGAAACAGGGTACACGTGATTTAGGGGGGAAACACACATAACCAAAACACACACACGCACACGCAACATCTAGGACACCCTAACCAAGGCTGTGTCGAGGGGCACCCTCTCACCGGTCACCGCCGCTTCGCCGAGACAACACAAGACCGCCATCGGAAGGCAATGCATAGCTGAAAGTGCATCTATTGCCCTATAGTGGTTTTTGATGATCTATGCTAGCTTTACTTAAAGGACTATGTTTTCTCTACAAAGTGTTCATCAGCTTAGACTCCAAAAGATACAAGTTTGACCCCTCTTTTCTTTGAGGACAAGTGCTAGTAGCCTTCAGTGATCCAAAATCGCCAAGTCCTTAGGTATGCCGATACTATCAAAAAGGATGTTGATTTTTTGAAGTGAAGTGTTTTTTGCAAAGTGCTTAAAGACCAAATTCCAAAACCCCTCAAAAGCCTCATTCTTCCTTTGCCCAATCTCCTACTTTTCAACTTGTTCAAACCCTCCAACCACACTTCATCCGAAGCCTTCGACTCTCTTCAGAGAGTTTGTAATTTGTCTGTGTGCCATTCGGACCCATCTGACTGCTCTTCCCTCAGATAATTTGTTTGTGTTTTCGTCCGACTTTCACACATCGCCACGGTCCAAACAACGAGCAACATGACCAAATTTACCAACCAATTGATCTTAACATTCGTGCTATTTATCTGCTCAAAAGGACACATAGAACTAAAATTCACATGAAGATTATGTGGATTTGCCTGAAAATATCGCATCAATTCTTGTTGAAGAATTTAAACTGCTCGTAATCAGCAGTTTATACATTGATAATGAAAGTAGTGAGGTATTTGTTTCGGTCAATCTACCCTAGAGGGATAAGTAGGGCATTAACCTTTAGGCCCTATTCGGTATCGCTCCGCTCCACAATTCTGCTCCCAGAGCCGGCGGAACTGCAGTTGAAAATGATGGGAGCTGCGGTTTCCTCGCTCCGCAGATTCCAGGAGTGGGTGGATTACCAAACAGGGTCTTACTCAATCACAATTCATGATTATTTCCCACGCCGACGACCCGTAGGACGTCCCACGAGGTGGTCTCCTGATCTCCGGATGCACCTCCGGGTGCCTGATGTCTCGTCGACAGAACTGGCACAGCTCGTCGTCGTCGGCAGCCGCCCCTCGGTAGTAGTCACCGTCGTCGTCCAACGAAATCATGCAGGCGAGGGCATGGTCCGGCATGCGAACCTCGGCGAAGAAGGTCCGATCCCGTCCACCGCCGGCGGCGGCAGGCCTGGCGGTGAAGACCACGTGGCCGAGGATCTCGGCGCAGTCGAGCAGGATGCTGTTGCTCCTGGCGCTGCCCTCGACCAGCTCGTACTTGACGCCGTTGCCGGGGTCGGCGTTGTAGCCCCGCAGCGCGTGCACGGCGTACCGTTTGCTCTGGAACTCGTGGCTCCGGCGCACGCACTCGGGGTCGTTGGGGTCTTCGAGGCAGCAGTACAGGTCTGGGTCTTCGTCCTCTGGGCGCCGCCGCCGCCGCCGCGCGGGTGGTTCCGGCTCCGCCGGCTGCTCGTCGTAGGTGGCGGGGAGGTGGCGCTCGAACGCCGTCCGGCGGGATAGCGAGGAGGAGTCGGGGTCGGGGAACACCAGCGGCGGCACGTCATCGCCTATCTGGCTCGGAGACTGCGGAGAGTCTGGGTCTTGGACGGGGGGCTCCTCCGTCTTTATCTCCCAGACGTCCGGCACGTAGTACCTGACCGGCGGTAGCCTAGCCGGAGCGGCAACGTGGTCTTTGGGCGACGGCGAGATCTCCATGGAAGGCAGGCAAACGACCGAGCGAGCAAACGGCCGTTGATCACCTACGGGCTGGGTATTTATGACCGATCGATGCATCGATAGGCGGAATCCGAGATCAAGCAGGAATTAAACCCGCGTACACACAGTACTACGCGCGATCCTGATTTAAAACGTGGAAAACTTGATTACGCGTACACACAGCTCCGGGGGTTTTCCCCCTAACCCTAAAAAACGCTCCAGCGGCGCTGGCGGCGATTAGGGTTTGGACGTGAAAAAAGACTTCGTCCGGTGATCCATCGCCGGTGCGAGAGATCCGTCGGAAGGGAGACCTTGCATATGGCGGGACCCAACTCTGCGGAGGGGAGTGCGGAGCCGGAGAACGATCCACTCGCGGGTCGCGCGGCCAGGAAACATCTAGAGGAAGCCCTAGGAAAACTTGACATCTCTGAGGAAGAGGCGACTCCATTGATACTTGATGATCGCATCGAGGAAGGTCCGGTGAAGTGGCTGTTGGCTGGTAAGGTTCTGCACCGTAATCAACTACATATCCAGACTATCACCAACGCCCTGCGGCCGGCATGGGGCAATCCACGGGGTCTCCAATTCAAATCTGCTGGAGTTAACATCTTTGTGGCAGAGTTTTAGAATCAGAGAGATAGGGATCGTGTTTGGGGCGGATCCCCTTGGCATATCAATAAGAATGCGGTGGTGTTAGCGGAATTCGACGACTGCATGAGGCCGGATGAGGTGAAGTTCGATAAGCTGCAAGTGTGGGCTAGGGTTGTTAACCTGCCATACAATTTGCGCGATGAGGCATGGTGGAAGCCAATAGCTCAGCAGATTGACAAGAACGCTCTTTCGGTAAAATTTGACCACAACGGTGGGTTTCTGCGAGCGAGAATTTCCATCGATGTTGCTAAGCCGATCAGGCGCTGGATCCTGATAGATTCTGCCAGGAGAAAGAAAGTGGATATGTACGATATTCAGTATGAAAATCTTCCTTACTTCTGTTTCTCCTGTGGTAGACTAGGGCACTCGGAGCTTTATTGCCCAACTCCTGGTTCTAGGGATGAAAACGGCGAGCTTCCGTTTGGTCCAAAACTACGAGCTCCTGACGAGTATCGGAAGCCACCGAGTTCGGAAAATTCTTCGAAGGATCCAAAGACAGGTGCCAGTAGCAAGCCTACGACTAGAAACTCAAGCACCAACAAGGAGTCGGGAGAAGAAGTTGTTTCCCCAATCAAGCATAGGCAACCACCAAAGAGAAAAGATGCTCCGAATCAAGTTTACGGACCGGTGATGAAAACCTTGCTGCTTACAGATGGGGGACCGAGTACAGCCAAGGGTGCTGAAACTGTTGGCAAGGATGGTGAGACTTCTGCTAGTAATGAAGTGGAAGGTGATGAATTTGTACGAGATTCTAAGAAAAAGAAGCCCACTCCTGAAAATTCGGCAGAGACCGCGACGCGGTCCTGCCAGGCACAATGACATGCTTAAGCTGGAACTGTCGGGGGCTTGGGAACCCCGAGGCAGTTCGTGAGCTTCGCAGTATAGTGAAGCTGGAAGGACCCACTCTCCTCTTTGTAATGGAAACGAAAATTCAAGCAAAAAGAGTAGAGGCTTTGAAGTATTCTCTCGGTTTTGGAGGTTGTTTTGCAGTCGATAGTGTCGGCCTTAGCGACGGCATTGGTCTTTTTTGGTCACGTGATGTGAATGTTGAGTTGCGAAATTTCAGCAAGTGTCACATTGATGTGGTGGTTCATAGCAATAATTAGAGTTTATCGGTTTGGAGGTTCACTGGTTTTTACGGGGCGCCGAGAGCATCTGATCGTGGAGAAAGCTGGCAGCTCCTGCGCACTCTCTATGCTATACCCCATGCAGCCTGGCTGTGTATGGGAGATTTCAACGAAACTCTGTATGCATCTGAGCACTTCAGCAGAAGAGCGAGGTCGGAGTCACAGATGAGAGCGTTTCGGTCTGTCATGGACGATGTTTCCTGCAAGATTTAGGCTGGTCAGGTACGCCTTATACTTGGGACAATCAGCAAGGAGGAGATTCAAATGTAAAGGCACGCCTAGACCGAGCTTTCGCGAATGAGGATTTCCAGCAACTTTTTCAGCATATACGGATCAGACACCTCCCCTCTGTTGAATTTGATCACTGTTTTGTTGTAGCTGAAATCAAGGATACACTGTCATACGGAGCACAAGCAAAGAAACAGTTTCGTTACGAGAACGTATGGCAGATGCACTCGGATTACGACCGTCTAGTA